GTTTATGTGGGGTGGTAGTTATGAATTTAGCAAGTTTTGAGCCTTGTGCATTTGTGGGATCTTCTCACAAGTGTACGACATTTGTTTTGCTCCCAGTTTTGGGGTTTGACACTTAGCCTAGTCAAGCTTGGATTATAAAAGTTAGATTTTATTTCTAGATTTGGATCTTAGTTAGTGGACTGCTAGTTACAAGTTAAGTAGGTTCTAAGTTTTGTACATTTGTGGGATCCTCTCACAAGTATACGATGTCTGTTTCGTTCTCGATTTTGAGGTGTGACAATTTAAATGCTAATTTATTATACCTTTATAATATATGCCCTAAATACTAAACCCAATATAACTTATACCCTAAATATAATATGCATTAATAGTATTATTTTTGACAATGCATTGCATTGTCTAATATTCACACATGCAGCTTAAAATATAACACTAAACATATTTCAAACCCCATAACCTTTAACCTCTAAATCTTTACATCATAAATTAAATAAAATGTATTAATTGGTAATTAGTTAAAATGACAACACATTTCACACTATGGTGTGGTGCCAAATGACTAAAAAATGACATCCTTACAAATAGACGATTGTATTCTATTTAATACTTACTATTTGGCATTGCATAATGGTATTAAAAGTAGTTATACAAGAGTACCTCTTTCTTGACACTACAATTCTGTGTCCAATAAATTTGGTAGATAAGATTTTGTATTGATGGGTAAATATCTGGTGTCAAATAATTGGCCAATATGTAGTATTTTTTACAAAATAATTGTTAACACCATACTATAGTGTCTAAAACTTTTTGTTTGACGATGTTTTAATATGATGTCAAATATTCAATGTCAAAAAGTCATTTTTCTAGTAATGCTGTACATTGGTATGTTTTTCCATTACTTAGTACGTTCCAACATATAACATGCCAATAAAACCTTAAAACACCGATGTGGTATATGTTGAAATGTAATTTATAATATATTTTACGTTGCTGAAAGTTTAAAACACTAACATGTTAAACATTGAAAACTTATTCAATAAAAGTAGCTCACAACTCCATCTAACTGTCAACTTAATAAATTTCAAATAAGCCTTATATGCATTTTAATATATGTGTAATATTATAAAACAATTGCATTCGACTTATCTTTTTGCATTGTCTCTCATGATTATTCTCATATGCATTTTAATATATGTGTAATATCCCAAAATTTTCCAGAACCTTAAAATTTAAGTAGGGGACTTATGTGGGAGAAATTATTATGCTGGCCCTAATGGTTAAAAGTCACAAATCTAAGGGGGGTTAAAAGTAAAATTTGGTGATAAAAGGGGTTAAGGCTAATTTTTCCTTTCTCCTTGCCCTTTTTGCATGTTTCCCAGCTCCTCACCAAAAACTCTGTAGCCACAAGCCCTAACCTGCCCCAACACCTCCTCGCTGCAAGAAATAGGTAAGACTTAGCTTTTTGTTCCTCTTCCTAGCGAGGTTTAGAGATCAATGAGCTTACAGTTCCAAAATGATGATCAAAGATCCATCTATGCTTGCTGATACCCTTCAATCTCCTGGTCTGTGTCAGGTTTGCAGTCTATAGTAAGAGATCACCATTTTCCAGCACTTTCTGGTAAGAAATTAACTATATTGCTCATCTTTTCATCTTTGATTTGAATTGAGTTAAATTTTGATCCTTTAGGGTTTTCAATTTTGGGAATTCTCTGTAGTTTCCCCTTGATTTTGTACATAATCTAACAAACCAACACTGATTCCTTTTTTTTTTTTTTTTGGCTAGAAATTTTGACAGCATGACCATGCAATAGTGTTTTGCCCATAACTCTTTTTGTAGATATCAGATTCAGTTCATTCTTAATTCTATGGAAAGTAAAAGATAGCCCTACAATTTTTATGTTGGACATTTAACCCGGTTAAGCTGCTTTCAAGGTGAAAACTTTACTACAAGTTTGGTTCTTGTAGGCAGACGGAATTGATAGCCCGCCCTTAAGTTAGTATTCTGACCATAACTTTCTCTGTAAATGTCAGCTTAAGGTAATTCTTGATTCTATAGGAAGCTAAGACATATGACTACAATTTATCTATTGACCATATAGCCAGATTGATCAATTTCTGGGCATGAATTTTGTTAGAACTTCCAGTTCAAAATCTGACTAGAACTTGCCTTAAAAAATGCCTAGAAATTTGCTTTGTTTTCTACTTTATTCTCATTGTTTTGGTTGCCTTTTTGCTGTTGTTTTTACCTATTAATCTTTGTTGTTTTTACACAGAAATCTCTGCTATTTTTGCCCAGAAAATCCTTGTTGTTCGAGGTTTTTTTTTAAAACATCTTAAGATTGTTTTAAATGGTAGAAACCCCCACCTTACTGCCTAGCTCTTGTACTATTGTTTAGGGCAATCTTGAGCTCAGTTTCTCACATTTTTCCATCTTATTCTACCTAAAAAGTTTGTTTTGAATACCTACTAGTTCGAGTAACATTTAGAGCTATTTTAAGCATATTCTAAGTATAATTAAACATATTAATATATTAGTAAGATTTCAAAGAGTAGAGGTGACCGAAAAGTGTAGGAAGAAGTTTCTTTGGTTAGGAACTTGATATTGGAATTAGGAACAAATTAGTTAAATGGAGTATGTTTATAATATTTCAAAATTTTCTAAGACCTTAAAATTTAAGTGAGGGACTTATGTGATAGAAATTATTTTTGTTGAATTTAATAGCTAAAATTCATAAAGCTAAGGGGGTTAAAAGTAAAAATTTGAGGATAAAAAGGGTTGAGCTGATTTCCTCTTTCTCTCCTTGCCTTTTTATCGTGGTTTCCCTTTCAGCCTTTAGTAGAAATTTTGCTCAACAAGCCTTAGCCCATGCCATCTTCATCCCGCTAGAATAAGGTGAGCTTTAGCATTTTTCTTCTTTCTCCTAGCAAGGGGTAGAAATTTATGAGCTTATGATTGTTAAAATCATGATAAAAACCCAGATCTTGTTACCAGTATCCTTCCATTTTCTGGTCCATGTCGGGTGTGAGAAGAGGCTACCATTGTTCCAACACTTCCACTAAGAAATTTGACATATTGCTCACCTTTTCATCTTTAATTTGAAGTGGATTATCTTTAATCATTTAGGGTTTTCAATTTTGGGAGTGTGTTTGTAGTTTCCCCCTTGATTTACCCATAATCTAGCATCATTAGCCCCGATCCTGCTTTTTGCTACAATTTGGATTGCTTGACCTTGCAGTGGTATTTTTCTCATAAATCTTTTTGTAGTTATCAAATTAAGTCGATTCTTGATTCTATAGAAAGCTAAGAGATAACCCTACAATTTTATGTTGGACATTTAACACAATTCAACTATTTTCAAGGTGAAAACTCTACTGGAATCTCGGACCCTACAGGTAGACTGCATTAGCAACCCGACCTTCTGTTACCTTCTCTTGGTATTTTGGCCATAACTCTCTCTGTAGATGTTCGATTAAGTAATTCTTGAAGCTATAAAATGCTAAGACATAGGGCTACAATTAATCTGTTGAGCACTCAATCCGAATCAATCAATTGCTGGGCGTAAATTCTGTTGGAAGTTCTAGCACGAAATTTGACAGAACTTGACAGAAATTTGCTCTATTTTCTATTCTATTTCCACTTTATTTGCTATTACATTGCATTGTAGTTTTAGTAGACTTTTAGCTACTATTTTTCTACTCTAAAACCCTTTATTATTGCTTTACTTTAGCTGCCATTTTTGCTGCTTAAATGTTGTCCATTTTTGCACAGTTCTAACTTGTGTTCTACCCTATTTTGTTGCTATCTTTTTCCCCAAAAGACTTGTTGTTCAGGGCTTAGTCCAAGCATTTGGGGACTGCTTTAAATGGAAAAAACCCTCATTTTGCTGCCCAATATTTCTACTATGTCTGGGATAGCTAAAGAGCTCAATTTCTCACCATTTTCCACCTTATTTTGTCCAAAAAATCTATTGAGAATACCTGCTATTTCATGTGAATTTTGGAGTTGTTTTAAGCATGTTCTAAGTATTCTTTGATGAGGTATAGGTTTTAAATTACATCAAGTGCTTTGAGTTCTTGAATTCTTTGCTCGTTGTTAACCTACAAGGTGAGGTAAGTAAAATTTTGGTAAATGCTCTTGGATTTTAAGGTAAAGATTTTAAAGCATATTTTAAACTATTTTTTTTTTGAGATGGTGGCAGGATCTAACTCGATTTTAATTAGCACCTGAGCATGAAAATTTTGAAATGAAAGTTATTATTTTTGTTGAGTTGAGCATGCCTACATGGAGATTTCTTGTTTATTTTGGGAACTTGAGATTGGCTTGTGAATTTTGAATTTTACTGTTAACTCTGCATGGTTTGCCTCCAATATAGTCATGAATTATGTTCTCTTGCCAGTGGGAGTTAAATGCTAGCACATATCGACATATATTTCTATAGGACCGGTTCATCCAGCTAGTGGAAGAGTGCACTGGTATTTCTATCATCTAGATAGTTGGGAGAGTACATTGGTCATGACTAATTAAGGAGACCACTACTAAATTTTATTCTGTATTAATGATTTATCACTAAGATATTTTTTCTAGTTTATGTTTAAATTGTTTATCCGGCATGCTTTGACTTTAAATAGGAGCTATCCATATTTTTATTTACTGAGTTATCTCACATAGTTTTTCCTCGTCCACCATTTCAGGTAGTCTGTCCCAAGACATGGGAAACCAAGGGTGTCATAACTCAACATTTTTTAATTTTAATTTTAATTTTTATTTTAGTTTTTATCTTAATTAATATGTTTGATTTTTACTTTCATTGTTAGGTCTGCAAGCAAAAAGAAATTTCGCGAAAAGGGGTAGAAGAAGAAGAAGGGACTTAATTGAAGAGATGAAAAGTTGAAGGGTAAAATGCATTGTAGTCAAAAATCCAAAATCCAAAGCCTACCAGCTACCCAAGCCCAAAAAAAAAAAAACCATTTGATCAGATTAAAAAAAAAAAAACAGAAAAAAAAGATCAAATCTTTTGTTCTCCAAAGCCACCTTCTTCCCCGCACACCCCGGCCTTCTTCCTGCACACCCGAACCAGCCTTTCTTCCTCATACCCGAACCCTACTCTGCATCCTCACCCCAGCCTTCTCCCTTTTCTTCTCCTGAACCAATACTCCCTACGCCGAGATCCCCTGCTGCTGCACGGTACGCCTGCACCCCTGCTCCCTGCTCTGCGCCCAGATCCCGTGCACCCTCTGCGCCCCCCACCAGCCAACACCAGCCTTGCATTGCACCAACCCAGCTTTCTGCGCCCAGATCGCCTGCACTCTGTGCCCAGATCCTGCAATAATACCCTTGCACGCCCGAGCCATCATACAGCCCTACAACCCCTCGCACGCCCAGCCTTGCTCTGCCCTACCCCCTGCCACGCCTGCGCCCCTGTTACTGCATTGAGCCTGTGCCCCAATCCCCACCTCTGCTGCACCGAGCCTACAGCCATGCCCCTGCCTCACCTACAGAAAAAAACAGCAATGCCAGACAAAATTAGCATCATTGGTGATTGACAAAGCAAGGCCCCCTTTTTTTTATTTCATTTTTTATTTTATTTTTATCATTTTGGGTGTATATATAGAGCAAAAGGTAGAGGTCTAGGGGAATTTGGCTGGTTGATTTTCGGGTTCCTTTTGGGAGCTGAGGGGGTCTTTTGGTTGATTTTGGAGTTTGGATTTGAGGGGTCTGGGATTGATTTTGGAGTTGGATTTGTCTTCTGGTTTTGTGTGTGTGTCGACGGTAGAGAAAAGGAGGGATTTTTCTGCTGGAAGGAGACTCTGTTTGAGAAAGAAGATTGAGGAATTTCATCTTCGGTTGCCATTGTTAGGTACAATTCTGGAACAGAGGATTTTTTTTGGGAAAATGGAGAAGGAAATGGTGGAAGCTTGATCCCGTGAGTGGGATTCCTTCCATCAAATCCAGATCTGTCTTCCTCTAAAAATCTGCCGTGTTTGCTTTGTTTTTACCTTCTCTATTGATGTTTTCATGTTCTTTTATTTAGATATATGATGTTAAGTTTATGTACGTCTTTCCTGGAAACAAAAAATGAAAAAGAAAACAAATCAAGGATTGTTCTGTTTATTGCTTGATGAATGTTCTTCTTTTATTAAAAAATGGGATGAATCCAAATTTTCAATTTCGTTTCTCTCTAGATTCTACTTTTTTTGTACGGTGTTTGATCTATTTTTGCAAGGTCTGGATGACGGTTTGTGTTCGTGGGCTAGCATGACCCGACTCAACCCAATCTAACAAAAAAAAAAAAAAAAAACTAAAAGGTTAAAAAGTAAAAAATATATAAAATAAAAATTTTATTAATTAATTAAGTGAGTTAGTTTAATTTATGATTAATGAAGTTAATTAATTTTAATTAAAATAAATTAATTATATTTATCAAAAATTTAATTTGAGATAATTAGATTCATTTGATTATCTCAAATAAAGATTAGCAAATGTGATTAATTAATTTTAATTAATTTTAATTAATGTTAAATTAATTATTCAATTAAATTAATTATCTTAATTAATTAATTTCAATAATCAATTTTCTTTAATTTGAGTCAGTCAAAATTATCTTTCTTCATTTCAATTTTACCCAAAAACTTTCATGATTAAGCAATTTAATCCTAGGTTTCAAATCTTTTCAAATCAATCCTTCATGTTTGAATTTAATCAAATCAGTCCTCCATCTTTCGAATTTTACCAAATTAGTCCTTTTAATTTTTATTTATGTTCATGGTGCATGCATGTCTTTAATTTTGTCCATTTTAGTCCAAAAGGTTAAAAATGTTGCAATTTGGTTTATCTCTTTTTCAAGCTTGTTTATTAAGACCCAAATATAAACATAATAAATAAGTTGGATTAAAACCCCCCCCAATGTTAAAGTATGCAACTGTGTTTAAACGGAGGATTATGAGGTGCAAGTATGCCCTTTCTCACTCATAACCGAACCCCCGAATCCCAATCTCTGTCCAGACCTGTTTTTAGATAACTTGTCCCATCTTATAATTTGGACGAGTGGCGACTCCCTTTTCTTTTATATTTTACACTTAATTTTTCATTATTTTGAAATCTTAAGTGGTTGTCAACAAAGGGGAGTGACGAGCTATTAGCTATGAATTTAGCAAGTTTCGAGCCTTGTACATTTGTGGGATCCTCTTACAAGTGTACGACATCTGTTTTGCTCCCAGTTTTGGGGCATGACAATGTTGTAATCTTGTTTATTCATTTGATGTGGTATAGGTTCTAAATCACCTCAATAGCCTTGAGTTCTTGAATTCTTTGCTTGTTGTATACCTACAAGGCGAGGTTAGTAAAATTATGGTAAATACCCTTGGATTTTAAGATAAAAGTTTTAAAAGAATATTTTTAAACTATTTTTGAAGTGGTAGCAAAACTAAACCCATTTTACTCAAACATGAGCATGATTGGCTAAGGTGAAGTTGTTATTATTTTTATTGAGTTGAGCATGCCTACATGGAGTTTACTTGGTTTTTTTGGAAATCTAAAAATTTGTTTGTAAGTTATGACTTTCCTATTAATTCATATGGATTTGTATATTATGGATTTTCCTATTGAACTCCTGCATGGTTGTCTCCAATATGGTCATGATTCCTAAAGCTCGCCAATGGGAGTTGTAAATGCTGGCACATGTCTTGACCTGTATTCTTGGAAACCGGTTTACTCTTGTTATTCCTACTAGTGGGACAGTACACTGGTTATTCCTACCTGTGGGATGGCACACTGGTTATTCCTAATGCCTACTAGTGGGACTTTCTTAAACATTGGCCATGACTAATTGAGGAGACCACTATTGAGTTTTACTCTACATTAATGGTTTATATCTAAAATTTTTCGTGCAGTTTATGTTTTAAATTGTTTATTTGGCTTACTTTAACTTTGAAATAAGGGCTACCCATATTTTTACTTACTGACTTATCTCATATAGTCTTTCCTCATCCACCATTTCAGGTAGTGAAACTAAGGACATGGTAAACCAAGGGGAGTGACAAGCTAAAAGGCTAGCCACATATGTTTTGTAGTTCATTTTGGAGATAGACCCGCTAGACTAATCACATTGGATATAGATTTTTGAGATATGGACTATTCTTTTGTAAACTAAATTTCCTTGGAGATAGTCATGACCTATTTGATTGAGTTGTAAAACTTTTGTACCCCTTTGGCCTAGTTAAACCTTGGTTATTAAGCTAGATTTTAGCTGAGATTTTGGATCTAAGTTTATGTGGATTGTTAGTTATGAATTAAGTAAGTTTTGAGCCTTGTGCATTTGTGGGTGCTTCTCACGAGTGTATGGCATCTGTTTTGCTCTTGGTTTTGGGGCGTGGCAATATGTTTTTATTTCTCTTTTTTTAATTAATTATTCTCTTATATGATAAAATATTTTACTTTTAACATATGCTACTGTTACCAATAGCATTGTAAACCATGTCAATGAACTATGGAGACAATTATTACCCTATATGCACAACATTTTATGCAAAGATAATTTTTATGAAGGTGAAAGTATGTTCATCAATGTGGCCAATGAAGGTATTTCATGCAAATTCTCCAATAAACTCTAACATCATTATATTGTTTTGCTACTACGTTAGTGAATATGCTAATTCATTGCTGTGGGTTATCTTGTTGTTTCATGTTTAGGATTTTGATGGCTAGTCTAGTGATTATTATTTAACATTGTAGGCATTAGAAAAAACCATATTTAATGACTAAATTATTGGTCACTAAAATCTTATTTTCCATCACAAGCTGGAATTACTAATAATATTTAATCTGTTATTAAAACTCATCACTTATAGTCTTAATGACAAATTTCGCACTTATCACAGAAAAAATTTTATAATGACAGAAAAAATCAACATTGTTAATAAGTTATTTGTAATAATTTTATTCATCACAAAAAACACTTTTTGTTACAACGATTTTCATCAGAAATGTTACAAGTGATAAAAAAAAGTCACAAATACAATTGAATACCTACAATGAAAAATTTTGTAAGCAATTATTCAAACCAATATTAAACTAAAAGGAGTATTTATATAATTATACATATGTGAAAAAAATTTGGTCAAAATATTAATTTATGTGGCAAAAAAAATTTCGACATAATTGTTATTTCCATTATAACGAAAAGTCATCACAATTGAAATAAAGAATTTGCAACAAAAAATTTAGTCTGGAATGATCCAAACCAATAAATACTACAAAAAGGCATTTATCTAATTATAACATACATTTGTATCCTCAAATTGTCACTAAAAAGTAATTAATATTAATAATACATAATATAATAACAATAAGTTTTAAAATTTCTAAAAATTTAATTAAAGGTAGTGATTTGATAATTATTAATTTTAAGTAATATAAATAATTTTGTTTTAAATTATATTTAATGTAATACCCCAAAAATTTCTAGAATAAATAAGTGTGAGTTGGGACTTGATTGTGAGGAAAATATTGTTTTGGGCTTACTAGCCAACATTTCAAAAGTTGATGACTTAAAAGTGAAAGACATTTGGATAAGGATCGGCTGGCATTTTTTTCTTCTTTCTTTCTTCTTCAGCCCGATTCTGCTCCTCTTTTCTTCCCCTGCACCGAGCAAAAAAACAAAACCAAGCAAGCCGACAGCCGCACTTGGAAAAAAATGGGTAAAAGCTTGGTTTTTGCCTTCTTTTCTTGTTCAAGAACAAGATTTAGGAGCTTAGAAACCTTCTCTCCCTGCTAGAAATTCCGGATCTGCTCTGCTCCTTCCTTCCTCACCGCCGGCTGCTCTTGATTGTGGGTGATTTCCGGGCAATTTTTTCGGTAAGAACAGCCATTAATCCATCCTTTTAGCATTGATTTAACTTGGGTTTACCTTAATTGCTCTTGGTTTCTTGAATTTTGGGTAGATCCGTGAGTCCCCTGCAGGATTTTCCCCTGCACTGCCGCCGGCCTTCTCCCAAACTGCAGCTCGGTTTTGCTTAGAGCATAATTAAGCTTAATTCATGTGTAAATTGCTTGAGTTGGCTGCTGTGATTTTTGGAAAGAAAACCCCGTGATTAGCTAGTGTTTTGGCCAATTTTGGAAGTTCAGTCACTGTTCACGCGCACCAGGTACTGTTCACGCAGAAAATTCTGCAACTTGCTACTGTTTTCTGCTCCTTTTCAGTCCGTTTCTGCTCTGAAAAATCTGATGAAATATCCATTTCTTTTGGTCCTTTAGCTGGCTGTAGTTGAATTCTGGAAATATCAGTTACTGTTTATGGACACTGTTCACGGGCACGGTTTACGATTGCTGTTTACACACGGAGGGTCAACAATTAACAGGGATTTAAATGTTTAGTTTGTGATATAAAAACAAATTTGGAGATATTTAATCATACGGAGATCGATAGAAATAGCATCGTGATTAGGGGTAATTTTAATGATGATTTCACTTTGAATTTGTGGTAGTGCGATATTAATTTTGGAATATTTTGGCTAGATTCCTGATTATTCTATCACCCTAGCTCTTGGAGTGAGTTTTCTGCTTTGTGCGATTGAGGTAAGTAAATTTATGGTAATGCCCGTACAGTTTTTAAAAGCATATTTTGATTTGTTTTTGAAGTGGTGGCAGAACTAAACCCGTTTTATGCAAAAAGTAAGTATGACTGATTTGAAATGAAATTTTTATGCTTTTCATTAAATTGAGCATGCCTACTTGAAATTTAATTGATTGTCCTGATGATTGGAAAGTGATTGGTGAATTATGATTTTTCTGTTAACTTCAGCCTGTTTTGTCTCCAATGTGGTCATGTTATTAGTGACCCTGCTAGTGGGGGTTAAACACTAGCACATGTCGACATGTTAGTGATAGGGCCGGTTCATACGAGTGACCCTGCTAGTGGAGATTATACACCAGCAAATAGTGTGCCTGCCAGTGGGAGGTTTATAACACTAGCTGTGACCTATAGAGGAGATGTCTATTTCGTTCCCATACTGTATCCGTTTTTCGTAATTGTACTTGTCGGCATGCTATAAGTTTAATAAGGGGCACTCCATATTTTACTTACTGAGTTTATCTCATAGTTTTTCCTTGTCCACCATTTCAGGAAACGAAACCGAGGACGGGGAAACCACGGGAGTGACGAGTTAGAAGGCTAGCCATTTCGAGATTGATATAGATTTTAGAAATAAATCATGATCTTGTAAACTAGAGTGTATTTGGAGATTTTATGATATCAGAGAAAATTATAAAATTTGATCTTCAGATTTTGATAGTATCAGATTATGAATTGGATAAGTTTCGAGTCTTGTACATTTGTGGAACCCTCTCACGAGTGCATGGTGTTTGTCACGCCTCGAATCCGAGTTTTGGGGCATGACATTTAATTTAAAAGAAAAAAGAATGTGAAAATATATTATAGATATAAAATACTAATAAATTACAAATGATATAAAATTCAATTGTTAACGTTCTAATTTAAATTAATATTAAAAACAATAAAAGTAAATATCCAAAAAATCTAATTGTAAGGGAACAACATCCTGCTTTCTATTCCATATTTTATTTGAGATGACTTGTGTATTTGAGAAGAAGGTTTTCCAACTAAGCAGGAACTATATCAAACATCTCAACCACGTTGCTGGAAGATTGACTCTGTTGTTGATGAAAAGATTCTTCAAGTTTTTTTCTAAGTTGTTCATGAAGAGATTCTTTAAGTTTTTCCCTAAAATCATCTATTTACTCTTGTAACAACAATTTTTAATCTTTCAATCTTCTTCTCCATGATATCAACACATTTATTGGCCTCTTCAATCTTTAGCATTGGCTTGAAGTTGTGTTTTCTCTCTATAATTTTTGTTAATTCCTCCTATCCTAAGGCCACGGATGTATCCCCTTTTCCCTCTCCCTAACACATATCCAAAATGTGTTATAAGTGGCACATCTTGAAGAAATTTCTTTTGTATGTACCAAGCCAATATCTTTAAGAACTCTTTAAATTAAAAACGCACCAATTACTTTTGATTGAATAATCTCTTAACACATTAATAAAATAATAGTACATAAAAAATTATCAAAGTTTCTTCACCATTAAAATTTACTTTTATTTTTTTGGTGGGTAGGCTTCTACAATTCTAATCCAATCTTTCCATTTTTTTTTTTCTATTTTGCGAAGATAATAATAAATTAATATAAGGGTTCAATGCAAATATTAACAAGGAAATAATATTAATTAAAGTACTTAACTTTGAAATTACCATTTCATGAGCTGTTTGTATGATGGATTTTGTATTGGCAACTTATTTCAACTTCACCTTTGTTTAATTAAGTCAATTTGCAACCCTTATTTTTTGTAGCATAATTTTTAATTGTTATAAATAGAAATAATAGTTACTTAATGAATTAAAAAATTAAAAAAATTTTATTTGGCAAATGTAATAGCCTTAAGAGATTGTGGAAGGCAAATGTGCCATCCAAAGTAAATGTTTTTACTTGGCAAATGCTTCAAAACAAAATTTCTACTAAAGTCAATCTAGCAAGTAGAGGAATTTTGGATATAGATGCTGATTTTAGTTGTTGTTGGTTTGGTTCTCACCCTAAAATGTTGTATCACTTTATTTTAAATTGTAAATTTGCATTTAGTTTGAGGATGGCTTGTTATAGATGGTGAGGAGTGAGTTTTGTGTTGGGTAACACTTGCATTGATACTTTTAATCAACACGGATGGTTTGGGGGGCTTACATTGGTAAACAAAAGTTGGTTGATTGTTTGGTTTGCCTTAGTTTGGACTCTTTGGCTAAGAAGAAATGAGAAAGTGTTTCAAAACAAGATTCCTCAATTAGAGAAATTGTTTGAGTTGATTTAGATACGATCTTTTTACTAGGTTAGGGGCTTGATAGGCTTGGTGGAGCTACCCTTCACATAATGGAGTTTTAATATTATCAAATGCTTGAGATCTGGAACACATAAGGTAGCTACTATTGTATAATTAGATTTAAGATGAAGTGTATTCTGACATTTTTTTTAAAGTTGTTTTGGTCTAGAAGGATAATGTGTAAATAGACAGAAATACCTCTTTTACTATAATAAACAAAATGCTTTCGTTGCCTTTAAAAAAAATTAAAAAATTAAAAAATTAAAGTGTAAAACTATATATAGCACTTATGTTTATATTGTAAGAAAACATACTATAATTGCACCAAACCAAAGATCCTTCTTCAGTCCACCTCTTCACTCCGGATGAACCTGCAAAGGCCCGAGGTGGATCCTCGAGGTAGACACTCCGATACTTAAGTCAACAATAATCGAATCTACCTTTAGAATAATGGAAAAATGAGCTTTTGGTTGGTTTCAATTACCTTTTTGAGGTGGCCCCTGAGGGGTATTTATAGGCCTTAGTGAGGTGCCCACATGGCTTGCTTAACAGAATGATCAGAGTGTGACGTGTCCCTTTAGGCGATAATTTCGGGACCGGGAAATTATGTAAATCAGGTGTGGGCATGTTCACTGTATTTATCATGCAGCCATTTAACCAAGAAGTGCTGGGTTTAACTTCACTTCGATTATTAAGGAATTGTAGCAGTACGTCCGAGGTGAAGGACCTTGGACCTATCCTTACACTATTCCCCCCTCGAAGTCATTCACTTGTGAATGATGTTTGTTAAAGATGGTAGGAGTAGTGTATAATTAGGTGAAAAGAGGAATGAAAGAATATTAAAGTTGAGTTACTAGAGTCATAATAAAAATTGGTAACTTAAATTCATGTATGGCCGTAACTAAAGTGAAATATGTGACATGGGGTCATTGTGGCCATATCCAAAATGAAATGTGACACATGATCACAATGGCCGGAGCCGAAGTAATATATGTGACACGGGGTCACTATGGCCAGAGCCGAAGTACAACCTGTGACACGGGGTCACTATGGCCGAAGCCGAAGTAAAACCTATGACACGGGGTCACTACGACCGGAGTTGAAGTAAAACATGTGACATGGCGTAACTATGGTTGAAGCTGAGGTGAAACACTTGTAAAATTGAAAATATTATTGTGAAAGTGAACAATAGTGTTGAGTTGGGCTTAATTGGGCCCGTTTAAAAAATCTGACGTAGAGTTAGTACGTGACATGATAGTTGACTGTTGAAAGACGTGTACAATAAATATGGGCTGAGAAAAGTAACTGCTACAGTTAAACAAACGAAATGGAAAACGAACAGTCGCATTCGAGAGGTTCCCATTAGGGATTAACCGTGGAATTCAAAACGGTGTAGATGTGACCATAAGATCAAATTAATCACAACTGTTGACGTATATATTTTGTTTGGTATGTATAGCCACATTTCTGTAAAAAAGGTTTTACTTTTGCTGTATTTTCTATCGAAGTGCTGCCAAAATTCTATTGTGTTCTTACGTCTGGACTGTTGTATTCTTTGTGGACTTCTACAGCAATCTTTGAAGATTGAGATCAGGTAACGTATTAGTTTTGGTGATTTAGATTTTAGAAAATGTTTTCTTCTCCTTTCACCCTTTCTGATTTAGATCTAAGTCCTTTAAAGGGGTTAGGTTTAAGAGTGAGAGTGATAGTGAGCGTGAATTAAGAGTTTTTTGAAGATCCTGACTTCATTCCCCTCCCTACTGCATGCAGTGAAAGTTACGAAACTTGAAGAGATGTCTTCTCAAGAAATGTTGAGCGTTGGGGACAGTGAGGAAGTAAGGGCGCCGGAGTGTGGTGATGTGGGTATGACCAGCGAGTCATCTAACTCAGAGAGGATGGAGGAAGGGGTAGGGGGAGGTGAGATAGTTGGGGTTAAGGGAGAAGGGATTCTTGTAACTGTATTAGAGGTGGGGGGTAGAAATGAGGGGCATTATGATTGTGAGGTAGATATCGTGTCTAAGGTGAAGCAATATGAGTCATAATTCAGGACTAGGGATAACTTGGGTTATTTAGTAGAAAGCTATGAAATTTCTTCCCGAGTTCTGATTAGGCCTGCTGTGGTAAAGGAGAAAGCATGTTCTGCACCTCGAGAACATTGGATGCCCATGTATGCCCATTACTTGGCAGCGGGGCTTAGGTTTCCAATTCTTGAGCTGCTGGTGGGGTTATTATTAGATTATAGCATAGGGTTGACACAACTAGCCCCTAATGCTATGAGGGTAATAATAGGTTTTTTAGTTTATTGCCAAGCTCAGGGGGTTAATGTGTCAACTGTAAATATGTTCAACTATTTTTTTGTTCTTAAGGGGGGAAGTAGAAAGGACAAGAGGTGGTATTATTTCACCCCTAGAGTGTCAAATAAGGATAGTAGGAGTTTATTTAAAGTGGGTCCTTCATCCATTAAACGATGGAAGGAGAAATTTTTCTTTGTGGATGACACTGAGTGGGAGAGGAGGGATGCCGAGGTAGAATTGTTGTCATCTTGGAGGGCTAAGAAAGCCAACCAAAATAAATATAGTTTAAATGAGGATGAGGAGGAAGAGGTGGGGAAGTTGGTGAGGGAGAGGGGTGATTTAGTAAATATAATGTACCTCACCAGCTCATATTGCATAGAGGCTGCTGAGCTCTATAGGTCAAGTGCTTTGAGTGAAGGTGTGTTTATATTTTGTATTGTAGTGCTTCATGTTAAATGCAGAGTTATGTTATTGACACTCTTTGTTGTTGTTGTTTTGCAACTAAGATGGATAAAATTTTGAGTGTTACTAAGAGGGTGGCCATTCTAAAGAAGCCAAGGAAGAAGTCAAAGACTTCAACTAAGGAGGCGAGTGAGAGAGGAGTTGGGAAGGAGTTGGTGCCTGGCACTTCAGTCGGAGTTGAGGAAGTGTTACTAAGGCCAAAGATGAAAAGGAAAAGGAGTGAGGAGCCAAGAGCTCTTTAGAAAAAGAAGAAAGTGGTGGAGCAGGAGGTTGGGGGGAACGAGGTACTAGAGTTCGTACCTCGGCCTCCTCTTATTGAGTTCGATCCTGAGCTTAAGGAGTTTGAGGTTGAGGGAGCTGAGGTAAGGGCCCCTGGTAAAGGTAAAGGACTTGTTCCCTTTCTTTCCTTTCAAAGCAGCCTGTTTGACATAAAGAACGCAACGAGGGCAAGAAGGGTTATTAATGCAACCTTCCCCGAAATGGACAAGCGCCAAGCTAAGGAAAAGGTGCTGAGGTATATTAGGGTGACTTGCTTTGGAGGTATGTTAAGTTGGTTTATGTATTTGTTGTTGTTTTTGTTTGTTTTTTTTTTTTTTTTTTTTTTTTTGACTTCTGTTGGAATTGCAAAGTGCAAGCTGGGTGAATGCTCTAGCCTAGGAGTTTGTTGAAAGCGTGAAGGAGTGCACTCTCTTGCGGAGGCAGTGTGAGTAACTGCAGAAAGAGAAGGATGAGCTGGAGAAAAAAAACAAGTAGATGAAAGAATCGCTGGACGAGGTGGTGCCAGCAGTTAAACAGCTTAAGGAGGAGAAAGATTCCCTAAGCACGAAGCTTGTTTTTGAAGAGAGAAAAAGGAAGATCTCTGAAAGCGAGCGTGAGGCTCAGGAGAAAGAAATAAAAAGGATGAAAGAAGCTGTGGCCGAGCTGAAGAAGAATGTTTAGCTGCTGGTGCACAATGGGATGGAGGAGCATATCAGCAACTTCGTCAACTCCAGTTCGTTTGACAACATTGTCACTCTCTACTGGCTGCCTACTATGATCCTCGCCTTCACTGATTGCAGAAAAAAGGTGAAAACTAAGTATCCCAAAGTGGATATAACAAAGATCACCTTCGGCGAACAAGAGGAAGGGGTGGAGAAGAACAATGAAAGTATGTCAGCGGACTTCCGCCTTAGATTAAACTGAGGTGGGATCATGATGCAAAAGGACGCACCATTTTTCCTCCGAACTTTGACTTCGAGTTTGTAGCAGTGGAGGAAAAGGAAGCAGAGGTAGAAGGTGCTAAAGTTGAGGTCCATCCAATTCCCTCTGATGAAGAACAGCTACCTCTTCCAACAAATCAGGAGCCACCTCAGCCACCTCTTCCAATAAATTAGGAGCCACCTTAGCCACCTCCTCCAACAGAATAATTAGGAATTTTTGTTTTTTAATTGATGTTGTTAGAATTGAAACAATTATTGAACATTTTTGTAGTATTTGTTGAGTAATTTAAGGAAAATTTTGATTATGTTTGAATACTTGTTTTTTGTTTTATTTGTTTTGAATTGACATAAGAACTAAGATAAAGTAAATCACTTCAGATGTGAACTGAGATGAAGTAAATTACCTCGAATGTTAAGTGAAATTCATTAATAAAAGTGAAGTCCAATGAATAAATTCCAAACAAATTGACCTCGGAGATACTGACTAAGAGATGAAATGAATCTCAAAAATGAAGAAGTAATAATTATAAAGAAGAATAAGACAATAATCACTTGAAAAAAGTGTATTAAGGGTAAAATTTCTTCAAGTTATTGATATTTCAGACTTAGGAACTTTCTTTCCTTCTGTGTCTTGGAGGATATTGTCATAACTCAAATTTTTAATAGAATGTTAATTTTATTGTTATTTTCAGTCTTATTTTACTTTTATTTTATTTTAACTAATATGTTTTGTCTTTATTTCCCTTTTAGGCTCACGAACAAAAGAGGATTGGAAAAGGAAGATGGAATTTAAAATGAGAGACTTAATTGAAGAAAGGGAAAGTTGGAGGGTTGAAATGCAAAGTTAAAAACCAAAACCCAAGGCCCACCAAATTTCTCAAAACCCAAAATCCAAAAA